TTTTGTTGTTGTTCTTGACTTGATTTTTATTTTATTACCTTGTCTTCATAGTTACAATTTGCAAATAGTCAATAATATTGTAGGTCTTTTATTGGTGTTCTATCTACGTGCCATTATAACACATTTTCATCTCATCATTTAATTTCTGTTGTGCATATATTGTTGTATATAAGATATTTTAATGTGATTCATCAGGTGGAAAACAAGTTTTATAATAATGGAATGTATGAAAAGTCACTCGAAAAACGGCGCTAACTTGGTAACCCGTGGCCCGATTTTAACAAAACTTGTTTTAATCTGTTTCTATTCATTCCATTACAAACATGGCACTATTGTGCACCGTTTTTGCTGTATTTAATTACAGACAAGCACACAAACAAACAATCTCAGAGTTTTAGTAGTATATAGATTGTGCTAGTTTTGATCGTTGGAATTTATTTCATTCCAATTATATTTGCCCCAAAAACGTTATGTAATGGTATTTTGTACTTTATTAGTTTAAGAGCATTATTTATAATAAATGGTGCCAATTGCAAATAAATAAAAGTTAAAACAGTGATGATGATAGTATCTCTGTAGACCGCACGCTATAGTAGCCCCCCCTAAAGAAAGGCCCTAAATTTTAAGAATGTTATAAAATGACAAATTCCAAAATAAGCATTTTACTTTTTTTAATATCACATTCATACGTAAACCCTGTTATCAATTAATAGTTATTCATACTGTTTTCCAAAATACTTTTTGACTATTTTACCTGTATGTGTAATTTTTTGTCTTTTTTTTTTATATCCCCATAAGATAACTCTTACATCCTCAAAATCATTTGATAGAATTTAGGTAATATTAAGAGCTCATAAATCACTTTTTTCTTGAGGTAAGTAATGTAAGAAGTGATCTTACTTAAGTCTACAAAATTATTAGGGTGATCAATAAGACAAAGGACTCTTGACTTCTTTGTGGTGTTTTCTGAAAATGATAAGACAAAAGGACTCAAATTTAAGATTTGGAAAAGACAGACTAAGCTTCAATTAAGACAAAACTATTATTCTAACAGGGTTATTGACTTGTGGAATGATTTGTCATCATTAGTAGTGGAGGACACCTTACAAGAGTTTAAGACCAGAATCTATGATTTCCTTATGAATAAAGTTGGGTATAAATTTTTTACTTTTTTCAAAGGTTGTGGTGCAAGGACACCCTTGAAAAACTAAATGGTCCAACGATTTCTATATGTTGTGTTTTAGTTTTCCCTTTCATCTTTCTAATTTTGATTAGCATATGCTGTAAATTCTATTTCTATATTTAATCATGAAAAACAGAGTATATATAAAATAATGAACTATGAAATAGTTAATATATTATTTTTCTTTTTGATATATCTAGTAGTGTTTGTTTGAATTGGCTTTTGTACAATAGCATAGCATTAAATTACAACAAGGGAACTTTTGGTCCATCTTGTCTGACCTATCCACTACATTTAACTAATTAACATTTAACAGCATTTATCAAATATTTATCACATTTTCCCTTACATTACCAGCATCTACCACATCTAAAGGTAACTCATTCCAAAGGCCAAACACCCTGATAAAAAAGTAAAGTTGTCTTAGGTGAAGAACATTCTTATCCTGCCAAAATTTATACGTGTCTCCTAGTTTTACCATTCTCACCATTAAATATGAAAATAGGTAATGCATCAACATTATCAATTCCATTAACAATTTTAAACACCTTAATCAGACCTAACTCTTCTTTTTTTTTTCAAGAGAAAACAAGTTGAGAAATATCAACCTAATATTACAACCTTATAATCCCAGCATTATCCTACTAGCCCTCCTTTTAACCATTTCCAACAATTCAATGTCCTTCCTGTGGTAAGAAGCCAAAGACTAAACACAATATTTCAAATGTGGCCTAACCAATGACCTACACAATAACATTATAATATCTTTTAGACTTGTATTCAGTATTTCTCTAGATACATCCTAAAATCCTATTTGCTCTACCACTAGCAACAGCACACTATTTGGATGGCATAAAACTTATCACCCACAACACCAAGATCTTTTTTTCTTCCATAACACTGTTAAGATTATTCCCATTAAAATTACACTCATAATAAAAATTGTGATATGGCCCCCAGTGGCTCAGCAGTATATTTGAAGGCTTATAATTATAGCGCTAAAAACCTGGTTTCAATAAATGTGGTGGGCAGAACACAGATAGACCATTGTGTAGCTTTGTGGTAAACAACAAATAAATAAAACAAATTGTGATATCTCACATGCATCACCTTGCATTTATTATAATTAAAAAACATCTGTCAATTATTCAACCAACTTACCAAATAATTCAAATCTTTTTGTAAAGCAGCAGTAGCATTCTCACAGTCAGTAACACCCCAAATGTTAATGTCATCAGCAAATTTAAGTAATCTATTGACCATTTTTTCATTTATGTCATTGATGTAAACTAAAAAGAGCAAAGGTCCTAACAGTCAGTCTTGAGGTACTCCACTCTTGTCATTAATCCAATTTGACATTTATAACAACCCTCTGCTTTCTTCCATGTAGCAAGTTTTCAATCCAATGAGCCAACCTATCTGCCATACACACAGTGATAACGTTTTAACAAGCCTTTCATGTGGCACCTTGTCAAATGCTTTCTGAAAACACAGATATCACTAAATCCACACTCGTACCCTCATCTACATAAGCAGTAACCTTTTCAAATGTCAAAAGGTTTGTAAAGTTAAATTTCCTTAGAAAAAACATACTAACTATCCAACTAAATTTTAAACTTTGTTGAATGACTTTCTAAAGCACCTTTTATCAAACTTTCATAAACTTTTCTAACTACAGATGTAAAACTAATAATAGGCCTATAATTACTAGGACAATTTTATCACCTCCCTTAAAAAGAGGAGTAATATTATTAGTCAATTTACAGTCATCTGGCAACTGCACACTATTCAAGAACTTAGAAAAATGGTAGCAAATAGCTCACATATCCAATCCTTAACTTCTTTCAATTTCATTGGGTAAATATTATCTGGGAAAGGAGTTTTATCATTCTTTAAACTTCCCAATTTTTACTTAACAAACTTACAATTAATATGACCACTTTATTATCGAACTTTGTTTCCATCTAGCAAGCGTTCATAATGAGGAATATTGCTTAAATCATTGGTAAACATTTAAGAAAAAATAAAACCAGCAGACTTGTATTTGTGATACATTTCACGTTAACAGGTATTTTATTGCTTACAAAAATTTATATTATTCTGTACATTTCACACTACACGATAACTTACAATTTTACATTATAATTTACAACGTACAGAAAATCCATAATACATATTGTTAACGTATTATCTTATCTCGTATTTTGTTGATTAACAAAAATTTGATGTTATCCTAATTTTAACAGATCTCACAAAGAGAGGACGAAATTATGAAGTAAGTTAATAACAAAAACTTTAAACATTTTTGTATTATTTTTAAATTTGTTATTCATGCCTTCCAACCTGTCATTAAAGCCGGAAACGTGTTACTAAGAGCAGAATTTTTGATTTTTTCTTACAGGTCCATAGATGGTAGCAGCAACAATAAATTATAGTTTGGGCAAAAATAATGTGACATATCAATTAACTAAATATCAAATATAAATATTCCAAAACGATATTAAGAGTCCCTTTAATTTAAGTGAGTACACTGGAGATGAAGTGCTAATTTGCTAAAGTTTGTGGAAGTACTCCCTCCTCCAAAAAAAATTAAACATCAACCCTATTATATCATAAAATGCTTCAATTTTGATTTTTCTCAATATTGTCTTATTTTTATTTATTTTTCAACTGAAATTTGTATCACATCACTAGATCTCAGTACAGTTTCGTGTTTTACTAATATTACATTGACACACACACGTATATATATATATATTTGTTTATTTTGTAACTAACCTATAGGGTTTGTTTGTTTGTTTGTTTTTTGATTATGCACAAAGCTACACAAGGGCTATCTGTGCTCTGCCCACCACGGGTATCGAAACCCGGATTCTAGCGTTGTAAGTCCGCAGACATACCGCTGTGCCACTGGGGGGCAACCGATAGGGAAGAAACTGTCTTTAATTTACAGTGTTGTAGGATTATTCTGTTACTTTTTTTATTTTTTTTCAAACTTCATGTTTTGTTTGATTTCGTTGTTGTTAAGCGCAAAGCTACACAATGGGTTAACGGGTTAACGGTGCTCTGCCCACCTCGGGTATCAAAACCCAATTTTTAGCATTGTAAACCTTCAGATTTACCGCTAAGTCACTAGGGGTGGGAGGCAATTTCTTGCAAAAAATTATTTGGTTACACACCTTAGCCTTCTAAAATTCATTTTCTGAAGTGATTATTCGTTGTATCCCAGTCTTAGATAAGAACAAGTGGGGTGGAACAAGATTAATTTTAGAAACAGTTTTTATATATTACAACTATATATATATACACTACCACTCTGAGGTTTGGATACATCTTGATTCCCCAGTGGCATAAAGGTATGTGTGCATACTTGCAACGCTAGAAACAGGTTTCGATACCCGTAGTGGGCAGAGCACAGATAGTCCATTGTGTAGCTTTGTGCTTAACCTCAAACAAACGAAACATTTTGATGATTATTCAGTATTTTTTTAGTTCTGTAAAATAAAGATTTAATGTGTAGTTCTTTTGGTTATCGATTGAACTGTTTATAATTTCCAACCCATAACAAATTTCCTGATGATTTTTTTCCATGCATTTTATACTTTTTAAATTGACAGCTTATTTCCTATGATTCCAATGCACATAAATATATATTACAAGTATCTGAACAGAATGAACAGTTGTCATAATTCTTTTTGCAGTTGGCTAGTTAATCGGTCAATAACATTGTTCCACTTTATATAAATCATATATACGCACCACATTTTAATATAGCTCAAATTAAAGACATTTCTATTGCTAGCCTATGAGCCAAGTCATATGTACTTTGTGGACAGAAGATTGTTTGTTATGAAAAAATATTTAAATTGTGTTCAAACTACTCTTGACACAAAAATACAGACTGGAACACTAGATGATAAGTCAAGGTCAGGAAGAAACAAGCTGAAACAGCAGAAAGAGGAGAAAGTGCATAAAATAATTTGTTTACACCTTAGAAGACTCACTACACCCAGTGTCACTCATTGCTTAGATCATCCCATTCAGGAATGAACCTGTTTCTGTCTTAACAGTAAAACGTTGGATATATTAAAGCAAGCGTGCATGGCCAATTTTCAGCCCAGAATTAATACGAATCATAAGCGATTGAAGTGGACTAGTGAACACAAAAAGTCGGCTGCTGAACAAGGAAGATTGTGCTATAGACAGAGAAATCCAAGTTCGAAATTCCTGGGTCCAATCAACGAGTATATGTTTGAAGGCGTAGCACGGAGCGAATGAAACAGCAATGCGTCATACCAAGTGACACTTGTGTGGGTATGTCGGGTGGGGTGTTTGATAAGTATCTGATAAGACAAGTGGCTCAATGTTAGAGTCGCAAAGGTTCAAATATAGCTCTACCTAAGTTAGGACTGCTGACCAGATGATAAATAACTAATTGGCAATACCGTTTGTGTTTGTCCATGGCAGATATTTAGATTATTGAAAAAAGTTCAGAAGTTGGAAATTTCTCTTCATCCTTCTCATGGTGTAGAAGATGTGTTAGGAGAGCATCGTGGTGAAAAATCTCTTCGCTCCACCCAGGCTATTGCCGTGAAGAAAGCCGGAAAAGTTTAAACTGTCACTCAAAGCGGAGACAGATTTTGTTTCTCCTTGTGGTGAGATTGTTCTTGAGACCATCTGAAACTTCTTTGCTCTAAGTAAACTTCAAACTAACACAAATAACAAAACAAAATTGGAAAGTGGTCAAAATATCCAATACCCAAAAATCTGATGTTGATGGAAAACAGGAATATCTCACAAAAAATATATTTTCACTGGTCGGGCGTTGTATATAGCAATACCACCACCCACACTGCTACTTTTAACCGAATAGTGAGATTGACTGTCACTTTTATAATGCTCCCACGGGTAAAGTCCAGAGTGTGTTCAGCGGTATATCGTATTCCAAACCGTAGCCGTAAACTTTATTTAAAAGGATTGAGCATGACATGTTTCGTTGTACGTGACAAATGAAAACGATTAATACATTTTAGTTTTCAATATTTTAAACTAACGAGCGCAAGGCCCCCAAACAGTTATCTTTCTTTGTTTAAGACTGGCATTATGCATAAATGCTCAATGAAAATTGTTATTAAAAAACAATGTCTTAAAGCCAAAAATATTGTAGTTTACTCTATAATAATAAAAGGGCACGTCTGTGTGTCTGTGTCTGTATGTGTGACTGCCATGACTCCAAGAGGAAAGAACCTAGAAACCTGACACTTTGCACACATACTAAGTGGCCCAGAGAGTGTGCACCTCAGTATTATTTTTTATCTAAGTGCGTGCGCGCATGCGCATCTTTTTAATGAGGCAAGCTAGCGAAAAACCACATAGGAAAGAAGGGGTTCCTTATATTACAAGTAGAAATCACAGACAGACACACACGTGTGCGTGTGGTCACGTTCATGTCTTTGTATGTGTGCTCGCTATAGCTCCAAGAGGAAAGAACCTACAAACTTGAAATTTTGCACCCATACTAAGTGGACCCCGAGGGTTTGCACTTGGGTATTATTTCTTAACTATGTGCGCGCGCGCATGTGGATCGTGTTATGCGAAAAACGACATGGAAAAGAAATGTGACTACCATAGCTCCAAGAGGAAAGAGCCTAGAAACCTGAAATTTTGCACACATACTAAGTGGAACCTGAGGGTTTGCACCTGAGTATTATTACTTATCTTATCAACGTGCGTGCACATCTTTTTAAAGAGGCAACTTAGCGTGTGTGTGTGTGTTTCCAGACATCAGACTACCTGCTGTGTCTACTGAGGGGAATCGAACCCATGATTTTAGCATAGCAAATCCGAAGCCTTACCGCTGTCACACAGGGGGACAAGCAAGTTAGCAAAAAACCACAAAGAAAATAAGTGGTTCCTTATATTACAAATTATAGATATAAATCACAGATAGACAGACAGACATGCAAGTGCACACCTTAATGAGGCAATCTAGCAAAAAATACATAGAAAAAAGTAGTTTCTTATATAACAACTTCTAATGTATAGAAAAGTGCGTTTTGGTAACAATGCGTACCAACAATGGCTTATATATCATGTTGCTTAGCAATAAAAGTATAGCCGAATATTTTTTGTTAAGAGGCTATGTGCTGAAAGTATAAAATCAAATGTATAAACTACAAAATAGAGGTTCTGTAAATTAAAGATATTTTTTATTAGTATTATCTAAGTTTAAAATTGGAGGACAAGTCAGAAGGTTTGTTTGTTTTGAATTTCGCGCAAAGCTACACGAGGGCTATCTGAGTTAGCCGTCCCTAATTTAACAGTGTAAGACTAGAGGGAAGGCAGCTAGTCATCACCACCCACTGCCAACTCTTGGGCTACTCTTTTACCAACGAATAGTGGGATTGACCGTCACATTATAACGCCCCCACGGCTGAAAGGGCGAGCATATTTGGTGTGACGGGGATTCGAACCCGCAACCCTCAGATTGCGAGTCGAGTGCCTTAACCACCTGGCCATACCGGGCCCCAAGTCAGCGGGAAGGTTACCTTTATAATCAGGCCACATCCCGTAAAGGAGCAACAAAAATATATAGGTTATACTTTTATGCTAAAATGGGTTCAGAATACACACACTCACATAGTCATCTAGAATAAACCAACATAATAACCCGAGCAAAGCCGGGTACTTTCGCTAATATAAAATAAATATATAGAGCTATTGTATTTCTTGTTTATTTTTATAAGGCTAATAATACCGGAATACCAATGATATACATCTACGTTGTAATGGATATGATGGACATAGTGTAGTCGAAATACTATTATACACACTTGATGAACTAGGACTTAGCATCAAAACTTGCCATAAAAATAGGTTTTGGCAAACTACCCACTGCTATTTGGTTAGAAAAGGTGAAAGTATCATGACAATGAATCCCGAATAAGTAAACTCCTT